ACTGGCCAAGCGCCCGCCCGCCTCGCCTCGCCGCGGCCCCGACGCCGGGCTCACGTGCGGACCGGGACGCGGCGTGCCTTTTCGGCTGAGCCCGCGAGGACGCAAATCCCAGGCGGGCCTCGGGGAAGCGGGGGGGGGGAGATACGCGGATACGTGCACGTGCGAACGCACTCGCACACGTGTTTGCGGATGGTTCTCGTCCGCCGCTTTCGAAGCCGAGGGAGGGAAGAGGATGGTGTAGAGACGCACGCCTCTGCCCACCTTTCGCTTTGGAAACCTGGCCCGGTTCTTAGTAAGACGAAAAAGGGAGGACTGCCAACTTTCCCAGGGAGGCACACCAACTTTTCCCCGGTGACCGTTCCTTCATGTCGAAAACCCTTCACGTCCCCATCATGCGCGCGCGTAGAGGGTAGAAGAAAGAAAGAGAAACAGCAGCAGCCCAGATGCTTACCTGGCAGGGAAACTGAAGCACGCATAAGACAAATAGAGTCAGCGTAGACTGACCTCCCATTTTGTGGGGGTGCTATCGGAAGAGAGAGAAAGAGAGAAATGTGGGGGGTTTCCTCTTATCGGACAGCGACAGAAAACAGCGCCTGTCAAGGAGATGGGCTGGCCGACTTCGCCAGGACTGGCTGGAAGGAAATTAGGAAGGAGACGCACGCGTCTCAAGTCCCTTCCTCCTCTCGTTTTCCTTCTCCAGTCGATGCGGTCTTAGAGACGCCCTTTGGATGACTGACAGCTCTTGGGGAGGCGATGTTTTAAAACGAAAAGATGAATTAGTCTCAAGGAACAACTTCTCCCCCCTCCCCTTCTTGGCTTTTTTGCTTGCCAGCTACAGTTCTCCCTTGCGCTTCGCTCTTTCTCGCTCCAACCGCAGGAAAGGAGAGAAAAGCCACTTAATTCCCGGAGGCACAGAAAAGGCTTCCCAAGGCAGCTTAAAAAATCGACGATCTGGAAATCCCTTGGGGGAAGAGAACGAGATAATTCCCAGTGGCTGCAGGCGAAGAAAAGCGCCGGGGGTGGGGGGGTGGCCGGGCGAGCGTGCCTTTAGCTTAGCGGAAGGGTCCGCGACTTGTCAAACCTCCGTTTCCAAATTCCCCGGGGTTTGCTAGGCGCCACTTTCCCGCCGTAAAGCCCCGATCGGTCGGTTTTTCTTGAAGGAATCCAAGGCCCCTAAGGAAAGCGAAAGGTTGCTGCGTCCGTGGTCCTTTCCCCGAATCGATGACAACAGAGACAGCGCCCGTGTGAGTGTCAACGTTTCTCCCGAGTCCCTAGGTATGGGTGACCTTTTTTGCTTTCCGCCTTGGGAGTTGCCTCTTGCGTCTTGTCTTTTTTTAAAATATATATATATATATATTACTTCATTATTTATATACGTATGCCTTTCGCTCGCTCGGTAGCGCTCCGGATCTGCCTGCGGTCGGGCGCCTGCCCGCTTTATATCTCGCCGGCCGCCTGCATGGCTAATGAGATGCAAATAAGCAGCCCCCCAATCTGGCTAGAGCGGCCACAAAGGAACCACTTTTCCAAGCCCTCCTCTCAATGGATCGCCAAATGGTCAGTGAGCTGTAAAATGGGCAACCCTCCTCCTTTTCCCCTCCCCTGCAGCTCTTGCCAAAAAAAAGAGAGAGAGAGAGAGAAGGGGGGGGGGGCTCATTTACATTCCTGCAAATTTGGTAACCGCAAGAGTCAATCTCCCCACCGCACACACATGCACACATTTTCCCTTCTGCTCTGAGGGGGAGCTCTCTCGCGTTCTCTCACACACAAACCTTGCGATCCTCCGAATATCTTAAAATGACTGTGTGTCACATGCACGCGCTAGCTTTCCAGCAGCGGCAACAACAACAACAACAACAACAAAAGGTATGCTCATCACAACCGGCGTCTCCTCTGAAAGGATTTCCTCCCCGCCGAAGGGAAGAACAAGATCAGGCTCCAGTCCAGTGAGAGCGCAGAACCTTAGCTGGGCACGTGGGCCAAAAACGAGATTTTGGGAAATGTTTAGAAAGGCTTCCTCCTGGAAGACCCAGGAGGAGAACGAGAAGGGACGGAGCGAGCATAAGTGACAGGCAGAGAGAGAGAGAGACGCGAGTCAGGACAGGAAAGGCAGTGTTAGGTGTCAGGTGTGTGGTGTGCTCCCTTACCGCGGTCCTTTCCGAATTGGCTGCCTTTGCGATCGGCGATATTGGGGGGAGGAAGGGGGGCAGAGAAAGATTTGGGGAAAGGGGAAGCGAGGTCGGGAAGTTTCCCCAAGTTCCAAGAACTCTTCGGGACCTCTCTCAGCTCCCCGCTTCCTGATCATTATGCGCAACACAACCCGAAGACTTTCATGGTCAAACAATCCGAGCAAAGCCCATGTGTTAAGTTCCA